GCTGTGCTGCTTCCAGCCGGCACATCATGTAAACAGTGTACGAACTGCACAGTGGCGTCTGTAAACAGCACTGTGCTTCAGCAGATAAGCACCTGTCAGGCGGGAAGATTAAAGACGAGAGGGGTTTGCGTGCCCCCGTTCACCGCGAGCACGCTGAGCTGACGGGAAGCCGCGGTGGGGGGATCGCGGTTTGGCTGGCAGATGCAGTCCCACCCCAGGATAGGGTTTCCACTAGTCGGCGGGGGGGGGTCGCACAAGCACAAGCACAGCGCGAGCTCCTGCCAGAGCGGTGGGCGTGAGCGCGGTCCCGCGGCGCCCCCTCTCTCGTTCCCCGCTCCGGATCCCGCCAGCCTAGGGACGGCATGGAGGTCCTGCGGTCCGGACCCCCGGACCCCGGGCAGGCTTTCAGCCGCGGCGCGGGCGGCTGTGGGGTAAGACTGGAGCTCGGCGGCGGGGATTTACAGACCCTTCGATAATCGCGTAGAGCACCTGGGGTTTGGGGGGGATAGACGTGACGGATAAAGAAGCCATTATCCTGCAACTCCTAAGAGCGGTGTGTGTGTGTGGTGTTCATCCTCTGGCGCTCGTGCGCACGTAGATGAACGTGTTTCTGACACTGGAACTACTTTAAGATCCCGTCGGAAATATCAAAGTACACGTTGTTATGTGATGGGGGTTTTTTTTTTTCCCCGCAAGGTAATTCGCAGTTTTGTCTGTGTGTTTCAAGAATTCAATCTGCACTGCCCCCGTGAACGTAAATTCAGATGCTGAAATCTCAATTTGTGTCCATGAATTTTTAACGTCGTCCCAGTTTGAAGCCCGCCACTTTCTCTTTCTTTATAACCACCGTCTGGGTTCACGCATTAGTGGTGGTAGTGGTATATTTTAAAGGTGCACTTAAACTTGTTTACATAGACGTTTACAGGAAGCCTGGGAACACAGTTTTGGTTTTTGTCGTCGTCTGTAAGGGTTGCAAAGGCCTGCCGTCAGATTTCTTGTTCTTCAGAATCCTAGAAGAGTCCTGCAGTTTTATTGTCAGAAGTCCGGATGCTGAGATGTCACTGTGAGCTGTCAGCTTGCTACAGAGGGGTCGTTCCATTAAATACCACAGGACAGATATACGTATTGTGTCAACAGAAAGATGGGGGGTGTGGTGTTGTCACAGCTCTTGGTCCATTCTGGACGGGGGCTTTTGGATGTTTGTGTGGGTTTCCTAGCTCCTCTAAAGACATGCCGAGCTCCGATAGGCTCCTCTTTGCTGTCCCTTCCCCCTGCCCGTGTCCGAGGGCGGGGAGCAGTCATGTGTGTCCTGTCCCATTTTCAGGTACGGGCTTTCGTTAAAAACTGCACCCCCAAAACAGATCAGTCTGACAAGGTCAGTGTGCACGGGTGCCGTGCCTTCCAGCTGATGGCGCCGATAGCGTGCACACGCTCCCCCCCCGTACCCTGCAGCTGTCTTTTGCCCAGGCTGATAACTGAGCTTCATTATCTGTGCAGCAGCTGGAAAGGTGCAGTTTTTAAACCCAAGTATCAGAGATTAACAGCTGCCAGTGCGTCTGCCCGCTGGGGGCTCCGTGCGCGACCCTCAGCCGGCTCCCTCGCTCTCGCCCCCGCAGCAGAGCCAGCCCAAGTCAGCCGCCGACAAGAGCCGCAGCAAGAAGGGGAAGGAGGTCAAGCCCCGGGTGAGGAAGCTCAAGTACCACCAGTACATCCCGCCGGACCAGAAGTCGGAGCCCAGCGAGGTGCCCATGGACTCCTCGTACGCTCGCCTCCTGCACCAGCAGCAGCTCTTCCTGCAGCTGCAGATCCTCAGCCAGCAGCAGCAGCACTACAACTACCAGGCCATCCTGCC